CTCTCGAGAATCTTCTACAACTTTGGAGAATAGGCAGGAGTTTCGCAATATATACTTAACAGTATAAACTATGTATGTTTTAAAATATAAACTTAATCTAAATAAACGTTGATATTAAAATAAATACATAACAACAAATTTGTTACACTACCATAAAAGATATTATCAATACAGATGAAAAAACTACGTTAACCGTGTTTTAATAGTATAACTAATTTGATCATGCAACATAGATTCAGCTATAATAAATATATATTATCATAACTTTATCAGTCGATAAATGTGAAAATAAATATTCACAATGTGTTTGGTGAATGTAGTAATCTAGCTTTGAAATATTTCTATCTGGTAACGTTTACTAGGAAGGTATCTTTCCAAAACAGTCGGACCACAGAATATATACATTTTCGTTACAAAGATAGTATCCTTTAGTATATGCATGAGAAAGTTAATAATACCATAAAACTACAAGAGGATCAAAAGGTGAATAATAGTTATTTCAGTAATTCTTTTAAAGTTTAAATATTGCCCATCCGAAAAACAAAAGTTGAGCTTCTTGTTTTGAATTCAACATAAAACAAAAAAATGACATTTTCTTGCATTAATTCAAATCACTTTATCTATACTAGATTATTTAATTTTTAACATCAAATCCACAAGTTTCAGGTAGAAACTATGTTCCTGAATGGACTACTTTAAACAACAACAAAAACTACAACTTTCCAGTTTATTAAAAACATATTGTTTGAAATTTCTTGACTTAGTTTGTTTGTAAATAAGAACAAAGCTACACAATGGGCTATCTGTACTGTGGTCACCACGGGTATCGAAACCCGAGTTCTAGCGTTGTAAGTCTGCAGACATACCGCCGTGCCACTGGGGGGTTCTTGACTTGTGTCAACTTTATAAACTTTTCTATAGTCAAAGAATAACAATTTTTCCAAAACGTATATTAATATTATCAAAGGTTGAAAATACTTTATTTTTTCAAACAATACAAAGACTAGCTAATACAACGTTCTAAAACTTGTTTGCTAAAATGTAAACACTTTAGATTATTTACGTAGGTTTGCTACTTGGGCGGAACGAGTTAGCCTTCATTAACACCCACCGATCCAGAGCAATGACCCTTTTCTTTTAATATCTAATCACAGCGTTATATATCAATATATGGTTAGAAATGAAACAGATATTATCATGTCTCTTGAGGCCGAAACATTAGCTCTTAACAAAAGCAATAGACGAATGTTGTTATGTTGTCCTATTAATACTCGTCGAGGGCACTTACGATTTATAATATATATATTTTTTTAATATATTAATCACTATTATTTTATTTTCATAAATAACCCTTGTAAAACGATATTTCTGCAGGGTTCTCCCAGTGAAAAAATAAAAATTAAGCTCTACAATTAAGCAATATTTCAGGATAGACATACAAGTGAAGCGAGTGCGCCGGTTCCAGTCTGAAAATAATGCTAGAACCGGTGAGCACGTCTCTTGTATTACTACGTCAGATGCATGTAAACAGTGTACAGTTTAGACTATTTTCTGTATGCGGATAAATAACAATACTTGCTCGTACTCGACATATGGCATATAGCTCATTAGAGGGCGCAGTTGCCCGTTAAAAGAACAGTGTCGGACGTGTGATTTATTCTAAGCACTTATTATTAAAACCAGAGGAGAACTTGTAAAAATATGCCAACCACACATTATATTTACCATATACAGTGAGTGTCAGTGCACAGGAAAATGTGTAGGTCTGGGGAAACCCTACATTAGTGATTTGTCAACACTGAATCCGGAAGAATTTTCAGAACTTACTGTTTATAAGTAACTAATAACACTGTCCTGAAGAAAAAGGGCATAGACGTGTTTAACGGGTTTCTAAGGTTTTTCAGAAAAAAACATGATTTAAAAGAAACATTATTCTTATTCAAATTAGACTTTGAGTTTAATAAGTTGTGATAAACAGAAAATTAATATAGTTTTAAGAAACATTTTAAATGAAGCATTTTCTTCATGTCATTCATACATATTTCCAATAAACATGTTTCATCAGGAACTGGAGCACGATACTGTCACTGAATATTTTGGCTCTTGAAATACATATTATAGGACGGTTGAAGCATGTTTAATTAAGTAACTGAAATTAAATCTGCAAATAATTTACTAATTGTTATATAATGAATTTTAGGTTGAAAAGCCATCAGATTAACTTGAAAACGCTAAAAAAAAAAGACCTACATGATGTAAACAACAGAATTTGGTTTAGGGTTTGGTTTTTGTAACCATCTTGTTATCTGAAAATTCTAATTAGCAAAAACAATATTTCTGTTTTGTTACTTGTACAGCCTTCTGGCAAATTGCCAAATATTCGCAATTACGTCATTAAATGCACTTGTGCCATTGGTAGTAACAAGGATTTAAAGAACGGAAAGTAACGTAAACACTGATAGTAAAAAGAACGTGGTCGTAGCTTTACATATATATATTTTTTTCTGGCTAGCAGTTGTTCAGCAGCATTGTCTCGGTCTCTGTGACCATTCTTTGGTTTTCGTTGTTTCTAGCATGTCTGTCTCGGTGATTCACGCACAGCTGGCTCCCTACTACAAACTCCCTCATGTTCAGATCCACCAGGAAGAATACTTGGAATCCATATTCCAGAAAAACAAGAATCCTAATTACAGTGATCTGGTCATTTGGTCAGCAGAGGTCGGACTGACAGTGAAGGACATAAAGGTAAAGTGAATTCTATAAAATAAAAATAATTTATTGTAATTTGCCGTGATCAAAATAATACGGAATACAAAATTACAAAACTATGATAATCAACTAAGACTATGCATTAAATACAAATAAAGCTTGCTTATTACGTGATTAATCATTATTGATATTTAATTGTAATAAAATAACCAACTGAGACTATGCGCTAAATTAAAATAAAGCTTGTTCATTATGTGATTAATGATATCTAATTATTTATCTGATAAGCAAGAGCTTTTATAGAAGTGTACGGAGCATATTTTTCTTAAATCTATACCTTTAAATAAAAACAAGATTGACGAAAATAAATATCATGTATGTACAAACCTAACAGATGTTTTTTTTTTAAGTTTCTGGTTAACGTTTAATAAATTTATTAATAGTTGATGAACTTAAAAAGATATTTCATCACAAACAGATAAAAGTTTGCAATTATGAATTAATAACATTTTAGGATAGAGAATTTACTTATTGTACATAATATCAGTAAAATTATATATCTGTGTTTGTTGCTAAGTACAAACCAACATAGTGGGTTATTTGTGGTGGGCTCATCCTAGGAATCGAACTTGGAATTATTACGTTATAAGCCATCCAGCTTACCATCGAGGAGAGGGGTCAAATTATATAGCACTGTAAGCTTTATAATAAAGCAATAATACATATTAGGCTATAAAGTTAACCATTGAACTGGCAAAGAAAAATACAGACAATTTGCCTGAGTGCTAGTATTTCTTCAACTTCAGTCCTAAGAAAATGTATTCATATGTGTTTTACGTTCTGGTAAAAGTATCATTATTCGTATCCCAGCTTCTATTTCAGCAATTGTTAATTGTTTTCTTTAGTTCGTGTGTTAAAATGTCGTTACTTACAGCTTCGTTCAATTGGCCTTGAGTTTGATTTTTAAAAATGAAACGTGTCGGTGAAGTCCAGAAAATGCGATCCAAATGCAACATATGTAAATCATCGGAGAAAAAAAAATGTAAAAACTACAAACAAATGTGAGATTTATGAATCAAATAAAAATGAGACTTTAAAGAAATATTAACTACAGGGCTCAGTTTAGAGTTCGAAATGACGTTCATACAGTTAAATATTTATATGGAACCGGGCAGTGGATAAGTAAAAGTGATATACTCGAAAGATCAGTGAAATTCTTATATATATTTAGCCGTTTGTTTGACTGTTAGTCTCACATTATTGAGTACGATAATTAACCGACATGAATTGTTAATTAATAGAAGAATTAATTGGATGTGTCTCAGATAGATTTACTATAAATGGTGATTGATGTTATGTTTAATGTTGCAAACTAAAATATGGATCACAACATCGAATTATAAACCAAAGTCGTGGACCTCACTTAGAAAAAACAGCCTGATTTCGTTCCTTTTGTTATGAAATACGGACATCTATAGTACCTGTTTGTAATATCAATAAATACAACACCATCTTTCATGCATTCAAGTACTTCAGAATGCTTCTATGTTATTATAATTTGTTACAAATAAAAACATGCAATACCCTCATTATTAGAAACGCTTTAGAATGTTCTTTAAGTCAAAACAGGAAAGATCCATAGATCTATTGGACATCTTTGGGGAGAAGGACTTCTTCTCACTGGGATTTCGTTTGTTTGCCTAATCACAAAACAGAAAGTAAGCACATACTGGAGAAATAGGAGCAACAAAAACCTGTGGGATAATTTATGACGTTTATGCTGATCAATCATTATTTACTATATCTTCACTGCATTTAAACACATCTTCACAACTGGTTTTTGACAAGCATTGCAACTAAGTATAAAAATAAAGAACTCAATAAACATTGGTACAAAAATAAAAAACTTTCGTTTTTGGCGTAACCTAATTATTCGGATGTAAATAACTGATAGCGGGACCCCATTATTTATGTATTAAGTTGACAGTCAGAAGATTTCAGAAAGATTGGGCAACGTAAGGACCCAAGACTCTACATACGGTTCCTGTCGTAGTTCTTTAGCTACATTCGATAAGAAATTTATCACATGTGGTGATCCCGATACGTCTAAACCGGTTTGTGCATCCTGTTTCTTTTCAAGTTTTTATGCACCTGTGTTAATGCTCGATACTTGCCCCTGCACTCTCACACACAAATTAAGTATTTGCAAACCTTAAGTAAGTCTTAATTTATAACAAGTACTATTACTAATGCCATTCTATATAATTTAATGGAAACATTTCTTCTATACGTAGGTTTTTACTGATTTCACAAATAACTTTTATATTTGATTCATGTTATATCAATGCAATAAACGTGTGTAGTGGTGTAAACAGCAGCGTAAAGTGAGCGACGCTACAACTCCCATCTTTGGTCTTCTTCTGGGTCTTCAAAACTATAACTCCAGTCAGTTATTAATTTTTCTCTTCACCGAAGCGTCTGCCTTTCACAAGATCACTTTCGTAGTATCACATTCTTATTGACCATAGTTACCAGGTAGTTACTTCCACATTGTTATACATATATATGACCCAAACGTGGGCGTCAAAACAGATGGCATCTTCAATATGGAAGACACAACACTCACTTTGGCCTCGTGTAAATTCTATAGGTTCCCCAACTTGAATTGAGTTTTTCGTCCAAAATAATGACTCACTATAAATATAAGGTTCTAAACTCGAAAGTTGGAGATAGAGTAAAAAAAAAGATAAGATAAAAAAAAATAATGCAAAAAAAAAGCTATCATGTGAGATGGTCATTAAACTGGTTACTTTTCAGTTTGTTTCGCTTATGTTTTGTTTCCTGATTTCTGTCACATTTTTATTCGCACTACACCAAAACAGGCACAAATTATTACTTTAATTGTAACATTTTTCACTTCTGACATGATCAATTTACGTCGAATTTTACCCGATTACCACAGTTTGCTACCGTCGCCTATGCAAGGTGTCTCATTTTTCCAGTCTTTCTTGTACATTTAGGCGGCGCTGCATACTGAGTTGACAAAAAAGAAAAAAAAAATGTTGTTTTAGGGCTAGGCTACACAATAGGCCATCTGTACTCTGTCCACCGCGATGAATCGAACTCTATATTTAAAATTTCAGCGTAGTAATTCCATAAACTTACGGCTGACCCACCGTAAAACAAAAAAAAAAAAGAGGAAAATTTGGTTCCTAAGGTCCAATTGTATAGTGATTAATATATGTGATACTTTTAAACTTATCTTAACTTAGCAAATGTTTTATCAACAGTGTCAATGGGTTTTGATATGGTACATATAATCTACACACACGTTCTCCATATACCATCTAATGTCCGAACTTCTTAGTCCATTAGGTAGAGGCTGAAATTTAGTCGATTGGTACCAATCGGGTGGCCAAAGTTCACTGGTGTAATTTCAAAGGTCTGTTATTCAGGAACACATTTATACCTGGTAGCAATCTGTATATAATAGCTTTCATGTCAATAATCTCTGTTGAAAAGACTACCTATCGGACTAAACACGAATGTAAAATATTCAAAGCGTAACATAATATCTGAGCATACGTAGGGAACAAAATGTTCGAATACTAATATAATACGAATGATAAAGCAATTTCAATATATTTATTGACTTAATAAAACAATAGAGGAGCTTCATGATGCGTTTTTTACAGCGAAACACGGATTTGTGGAGAAGACCTCACATTACACTCTTTTCCAAGAAAAGTATATTCTGTTATGTATACAATACTTTGTTCTTGCACCATTTTCCCATCATCATCATCATCAATCCCTTTATTTTGTAGAAAATGATCACATATATAAACATCATTAGTATCGTCATTGTCGTCGTCGTCAAAAGCATGATTATAATATTACGAACAGTACATTTAGTCAAATTCAAGTTCCTCGGTTTCATTATTTTCGTCCATTGATTAGGTTTCTCCATCCAGAGACTTGTTTTCACAATTCTTCAGCCTACAAAATTCTGAACCCTTCAAGTTATTCGCAAAGCATGTACACTTTAGAAGTTGGCACTACCTTGCACGCCCTCCAGTGGCAGAACGGTATGTCTGCGGACTTACAACGCTAGAAACCGGGTTTCTATACCCGTGGTGGGCAGAGCTCAGATATCCCATTCTATAAATTTATGCTTCACTTCAAACAAACA